GGTACTATTCAGCTATCTTGTGTCTATCCTGATTTTAGTATTTAGTAGCTTATAGTGTTGAAGCATAATTCTACTGAACTTAGCAGATTTTTTTGTATGCATTCTTTTTTTTTAAAGATTTATTTTTATGATTATTATTTTTTTTATTGGAAAGGCAGATATACAGAGAGGAGAGACAGAGAGGAAGATCTTCCGTCCGATGATTCACTCCCCAAGTGAGCGCAACAGCCGATACTATGCTGATCCGAAGCCAGGAGCCTCTTCCGGGACTCCCACGCGGGTGCAGGGTCCCAAAGCTTTGGGCCGTCCTCGACTGCTTTCCCAGGCCACAGGCAGGGAGCTGGAAGGGAAGTGGGGCTGCCGGGATTAGAACCGGCACACATATGTGATCCCAGGTGTGCAAGGCGAGGACCTTAACCACTGCGCCACCGCGCAGGGCCCTTTTGTATGCATTCTTGACACATCTCCATTATCTTACTTTCTGGTACCAGGTGACCTACTGGTGGAATCAGTCATTTCTCCAAGAGAATTTCGTCCTTTTCAGTAGCGAATGCCATTTGGAAGCCAGGATCTGTGTACTATGTGTGCTTATTTTGATTGGGGTGCCTTTACCACTAGGTATTCTCAGGGGACACAGCCCAGGGAAAGACGCATATCCAAACATATACATAGTCTTCATTCTGTATTTCTGTATAGTTTGAGCCTCAACTGTGTTATTTCTAATTCAGTACTACAGAGTCCATTTCATTTATTTATTTGGAAAGGCAGATCAGAGAGAAAGATCAGGAGAGACAGAGAGAAAGATCTTCCATCTGCTGGGTCACTCCCCAGATGGCTGCAATGGCTGAGCTAAGCTGATCTGAAGTCAGCAGCTGGGAGCTTCTTCCAGTACTCCTACGTGAGTGTAGGGTCCCAAGGACTTGGGCCACCCTCAACTCCTTTCTCAGATCATAAGCATGAAGCTGAACGGGGAGTGGAGCAGCTGGGACAAGAACCAGCATGCATATGGGATCCTGGCCCTTGCAACGTGAAGATTTAGCCATTGAGCTAAATGGGTCCATCGCTCTGGAATGTCTTCCTGTATTTGTAATTCCCTTCCACAGCAGTGGGAAATGAGATTCCTACTCTTTCACATGTTTATTTATTGGAACAGTTTCTCTGAATGTCAACAATCACCAAATCACTGCTGTTTTCTTTCCCAAAACCTTAAAACATTTATTTGAAACGCAGAGAGAGCAACACACAGGTCTTCCATCAGCTGGTTCACTCCCCAAATGCCCAGCACTGCCAAGGTTGGGCCAGGCTGAAGCAAGGAGCCTGAAACCCCATCCAAGTCTCCCACACAGGTGGCAGGGGCCCAAGTATTTGACCATCTTCCTCTGTCTTCCCAGGCATGTTAGTAAAAAGCTGAAGCTTTTATCTCAGAAACAGAGATGCTGGGATTGAAACTGATACTTGATGTGGGATGTGTGTGTCACAAGCAGCAATTGTGTCACACAGGTCACACACCTCTCCCTCAAGATTTATTTATTCAAAAATGCAGAATGACACAGACGGAAATTTTGTGTCCACTCCCAAGTGATAGCACAGGCTGGAAGCCAGGAGCGTGAAGCTCCACCAGGATCTCCTGGCGGGTGGCGGGGGCCTGAGTAGTTGGGCCATCTTCTGCTGCTTTCCCAGGTGCATTCACAGGAAACTGGATTGTCAGCAGAGCAGCAGGGACTCCAAGCAGTGCTCTGATATGGGACACCACTTAACCTCCTGCACCACGCTGCACCCAGGTGGGAACCCTGGTTATCCCCTCAGGATCCAATACTCTGATATCTCTCTGGGCCTCTGACACCCTAAGTCCGCCAGACACAGAGTTCCACTTTACTAGAGTCCCATCCTAGGCCTTTAATACTGAATTGTCTCTGGCAGGGAAAAAAAAAAAGGAAAAGGAAAAAGTATGCATCATTTTTTTGGGAAAAATTCCTTTTATTATATTAAACAATATGGTGATGAATAATCAAAGCCACACAACATTAGTGTATGTTTAAGATAAAGTCCTACAAGTGAACTTGTCACAGAGGATGGGCATTTGTAATGCTGGTTCTGCCACACTGCTTTCCAGAAAGTTTAACACTCTATACATTCACCAGAAACACAAAATGACGAATGAGAGAATTTGTAAGAACAGTATCTCTAGGGCCCGGCGCGATAGTGTAGTAGTTAAAGTCCTTGCCTTGCATGCACCGGGATCCCATATAGGCGATTGTTCTAATTCTGGTGGCCCTGCTTCCCATCCAGCTCCCTGCTTGTGGCCTGGGAAAGTAGTTGAGGACGGCCCAAAGCTTTGGGACCCTGTACCTGTGTGGGAGACCCAAAGGAGCTCCTGGCTCCTGACTGGCTCAGCTCCAGCTGTTGCGGTCACTTGGGGAGTGAACCATCAGATGGAAGATCTTCCTCTCTGTCTCTCCTCCTCTCTGTATATCTGCCTTTCCAATAAAAATAAATAAATCTTTAAAAAAAAAAAAAGAATAGCATCTCTACTTTCCAACACTACAGTGGTGCTGTTGTAGAAGCCACTGCCAGTAATACCAACATCCTATAGGGGTTCTGGTTACTCCACTTTTGATCCAGCTCCCTGATAATGGCCTGGGAAAAGCCATAGAGGATGGCCCAAGTACTTGGTCCCCTTAGACATATATGGGAGACCTGGAAGAAGCTACTGGCTCCTGGCTTCAGCCTGGCTCAGCCCTGGCTGTTACAGCCATGTGAGGAATGAATCAGTTGTTGGAAGATCTCTTTCTCTTCCTGTCTCTTCCTCTCTCTCTCACTGTAAGTCTTTCACATAACTACATCTTCTAAAAACAGCAAATTCTAGCATCAGTTGGCAAGTGCTGGGTTGGGGGGCAAGTCCTGTTATGTTAGACTGCAGAACCACCAGGAGAGCACAAGATCCGGAAGTGGGAGTGGGCCCAGTATGGAAACTGTGGGCACCTCTCTGCTGGGTTGCAACTCCCACTGGTGAGTATGGGAACTGGAGCTGGGGGTTGGGCCTGGTTGGACAGTTGGTGGTGGTGTGCCGAATTTTGATATCCCCAGAAAATCAAGTCTGAAGTCGGTGCTAAGACATAAAGGTGGTTTATTCAGGTTAGCCTAGGTCTCCAGCCACTTCCCCCCAGCCCAGCAGGGCTGGGCGGGGGAGGGGCAGCCGCAGCCAAGGCCCCTGCAGGATCTGCAGGGAGGGCAAAAGAGCAGGAGAGAGAGCACCCCAAGGATGACCAGCCCAGCGTTCTTATAAATTTCAGGCTATTAGTTATACAGTCATGATTTAGCAGGTTTCCATTGGTGGGTTTGACGCAAGCAACTTTCAGAAGTTATAAACTGATGAGCTACAGGGCCATGAATCTTATCCAACACCAGGTACCTCCTTCCTGAAGAATGATCTGCCTGTGTGACCTGCCAGGTGTCCTGCTGCCAGGTGTCCTGTCGGGTGTCACGTAGACTATCAGGCCTGGAGTTCACACAGCCCCCAGCCAAGCCAGTAAGGCAGAATCACAAAAGCAGAAAACAGCTAGGTTCTTCAGTAGCACCCGCTGGCATGAAGGGTTAGGTTGAAGGGTGGGGCCAGTTGGGATGAATTAGACTTCAATGCCCATTGATGTGTATGAGATCTGAATGGAATGTGGAGCAGAACGAACCAGTCCACTGCTCATGCTGGCAAACACAGGAACTAGTCCAGTGGCTGGTCCAGTGCGGGTTATTGGGGGTCACTGTGACTGGGCTGCAGCTCCCCCTCGTGAACATGAGGGTCAAGTGTGTGGTGGGCAGTGTTGAACCACAGCACCCATTGGTTTACAGAGTGAGGGAAGGGCGAAGTTAGACAGCAAACTTCGTGGTGATAGGAGACTTTCAAGGTGGACTGTGTTGACCAAGGATTTACTCATCCTTGGAACGCTGAGATTAACAGCATCTCAGAATTACTGAAATCACATGAGCAGAACCCTCAGAAAATGCTCAACAGGGAGCCTGGGATGACAGCGGGTGGGGGTGGGTTCTCTGTTCCCCGGGGAACTGAGGCAGTTGGGAGGCTGGGTGTGGTTTCTACCCTTGTATCCTCCCTGCCCCAGATACAGGAAGAAGAAAAATAAAATGTATAAACAATGGTCTTGCCCACTTTCTCCCTGGTCCTGGACCTTTCCTACCCGGATCAACTATGTAAACATCATCAAAAATAAAACTTAAAAATAATAAAGATAAAAATGATTAAATCATACAGGAACCAAAAGTTCATGTGACGACACTTGAAGAAAAATTATGACAACTAGTTTTCTTTTCTGGAAATGCACTTGTTGCTTATACCAATCCAATTTCCTAGTATACTGTTTCTTGGTAACTAAAGTGAAACAACATTAATTATTAGAAACAAATTTAGGTACAGGTTGATATGACCAGTTAGGAAGGAAATTTAAAATGACGTTCCTCAGTCGCAGTAATCCCATTTCAACGGCTTCACAGCTACATGTGGCCAGCCGTGACCCCGTTAAGGAAGATAAAAACTATTTATTGAGAGTTTCTGTGTGTTTCTTTCTTAAGGTTTGAGAGCCTTTAGGCTTCAAACCAATAATAATGAATGGACGCTATTACTCTTTCCACTTAACAGACTAAGAAACACCAGGCAAGGCACCTGCTAGTGGACCATCCCTGGGAAGCTACTTCGAGGACACCCCGCAGACGGAGGGACCTCTGGGCTCTGCAGCGCGAAGAAGCCTGGGAACCAGCTGTCCTCAGCGCTCCCAGGACTGGACAGCACCGCATGCACCTGCTCCCACGGCCCCGCCTGCGCGCCAGGCCTCCCCAGGCGCGCTTCCGCACGCCCAGCGTCGGCAGCCAATGGGGCGCGGCGCCGGCGGGGCGGGGCGGGCCGTGACGCGCGCCTCGTGACTCGCCTCAGCCTGCGCCGCGGAAGCCGGAAGCGGCGGTCTGAGCGCGCCCGCTGGGGGCGGAGGAGCGGCTTGAGATTCGAGAAGGCGGGGATGGATCCGAAGCCGGCGTCCGCGCTGCGAAGGGCATCGCCGCTGCCGTGGCTGCTGCTGCTGCTGCTGCTGCTGCTGCTGGGCTCGCGGCTGGCTGCAGGCGCGCTCCCTTTCGGCAGCGGTCCTCCCCGGGTCTTCCCTGACCTGCTGTCGGAGCAGCGGTGGCTGCAGATGGAGGACTTGAGCCTGTCCCTGTTGCGGGGCGGGGGTCTGGGACCCCTGTGGCTCCCCTCGGACCTGCCGGAGCTGGACCCGGAGTGCCGGGAGCTGCTGCTCGACTTCGCCAACAGCAGCGCCGAGCTGACCGGGTGCCTGGTGCGCAGCGCTCGGCCTGTGCGCCTCTGTCAGACCTGCTACCCCCTCTTCCAACAGGTCGTCAGCAAGATGGACAACATCAGCCGAGCCGTGGGGGTGGGTAGAGGGGCTCTCCGGGAACCTGCGGCGTGGAGGGTTGGGCAAGGATAGTCAGTCCCGGGGAGGTGGAGTTGGGTTCTCTGTTTCCCCAATACTTAAGGAAAGGAGTGTGTGGAATTCGGGGTGTCAAAAAAAGGAGCCGGCCATTAGGGTTCTTGGGGTGTGGTTTTAGCCTCCACGGAGGCCATTGGGCACCCTACTTCCCCCTCCCCACTACTAAGCTCTGAGTGCACCCTCACATCCCATCTTCTCCAGGATTGCAGGAGTAAGGCCTGTCCTGAGACGCCCCACTGAGGAGCCTGGCAGTAGTTAGAAGCTTGAGCCTGCAGCCAGTTTAACTGTTCCCATCAGCTCCGCCAGGTCCTAGCAGGCTGACTTTGTGGAGTAAGTTGTCTTACCAAGTGGCAGCCAGCCTGGTGTGGCCGTGGAGGGTTAAAATGCATAGTGTATGGGTGTGTTTTCATCTTTATGATTGCAGTGGTGTGGAGGCAGTCGGTACATCTGGACAGATGTCTTCACACTCGTTCACCTGTGACCTGGGGACAACTGGAAATGGGAACATAGCAGTAGTTGGCTGGCAGTGGGTAGTGGCATTTTCAGAAATGGTCAGTTGGCCTTCAGTTGTTGGAACCCTGAAGGCTGTGCTGGCCATCTGTCTGGTTGGTGCTAGGAGGGATTTAATTTACTTAAAAACAGGGAGACACCTAAGTCCTTTCCCTACTCTTAAGTGCTTTGTACATCTAGAGTAGGAAGGGTCGGAGTGACAGAGTGAGAGTCATGAGGTGTGGGCCGGAAGTGCCTGGCAAAGGGCTAACACGGGCGGCCCAGGCATCTCATGACACTGGAAAGACTTCCTAAGTCACGGTTGATCTGACTCAATAGGAACTTGTGGGTAGTTGTATCCTACTTTAAGACAGCCTGATGTTACTTCACATACATTTCTATTTTGCTTGAGTGGAGGGGGGGGGGGCGCATAAATTCAGTAAATTCACTGGTCCATCTTTGTATAAAGAGCTAGTTTGCAAGGTAGCTTGAAAGAACTGAGGATTACACGGAGTGTTTTCCAGCCCTGTTTCTATTGGTTGTAGCAAGAAAAATACACACACACACCTCATAGATATCTCATACAGGATGTGTATATGTATATATGACTGCATATGTGTGATTTAAAATGTTACCAAGGGCTTGTTCCTGTCACCTGCAGCAGGGAGTGGCCTGGCATCAAGCTCAGTTTTGAGCAGGTCGGGGAGTTGTTTTGTTTTTTAAGATTTATTTTATTTTTTTAAATTGGAAAGTCAAATATACAGAGAAGAGGAGACACAGAGAAAGATTTTCCATCTGCTGGTTCACTGCACCAGTGGCCGCAACAGCTGGAGCTGCTAGGCCTGAGTTTTTAAGTAAGCAGCCAGCTACTTACAAAGCATCATAGGCGATGCTGGCACTGCAGATGGAAGCTTGACGTGCGGTGCCATGGTGCTGACCATTTGTGTGATGTTCAATGATGTGATAACAAAAGTAAACCACAAAGAGGGTAAGCTTCTGAAAAAATACTGTCAGTGTTACTTTCAAGCAAGAATTCTTTAAGTCTACATTCCTTTCCTCACCCAGTGTGGCTCTAGTTCTTATGTAGAGTTACATCTCTCTCGTTACTCACTATATTATGTAAGATAAGAAGGCTCTTGAAGCTCAGCATTGGGGCTCATATCTTCCTGTTTTAAGGAATCTTAACAGTAACTGGTTAACAGTAGCAGTTCATTTTTTTAAGAATGAAGCCTCAGCAGAATTATTCCCTGCTGGGACCAAAGGAAAGGATGTAGATTTGGATCATATAATTAGGAACTTGGGTTTGTTACTTGTGTAGCATGAGATTCTTTCATTATAAAAATTATCTATGGGTAGTGTGTTTTTTTCCTGAATTTAAACACTGCAAAATGGAATGTGTTGTTGGATTTTCTTGGGAATTCTAAACCACTGAATGAAAAATTACCCCAAAACATGAAAACAAAGAATGTGCAACATTGACCCACTATATACAAAATGTTATATAAATAATGTATGCTCACTGTAGAACGCTTTCAGAGGCATAAGAGAAGCAAAAGTGAAAATAAAATCACCACATTTGTAGATCTGTCTTCAAGATAAATACAGAAATACATTTTTAAAAGATACTGCTACATTTTGGTGAAAAGTTCTCCAGAGTTTTTTTTTTATGAAAAACAGATAAAGCATGTGAAACACAGGCAGTTGACCCAAGCACTTGAGATTGCACTGTAGAAGCAAATACATATTTAAGCAGCAAAAACTTTCTTCCCTTGCAAGTAAACTTTGTATCAATAAATGTTAGCTGTGTTTTTTTTTCTTTAATATTTGTTTATTTTTATTGGAATGACATTTTCAGAGAGAAGGGGAGACAGATAGATCTTCCATCTGCTGGTTCATTCCCCAGTGGTCACAGTGGCCAGAGCTGAGCCGATCAGGAGCCAGGACCCTTTTCCAGGTCTTCCACATGGGTGCAGGGTCCCAAGTCTTTGGGCCATGCTCCACTGCTTTCTCAGGCCTCAAGCAGGGAGCTGGAAGGGAAGTAGAACTGCCAGGACGTGAGCCCATGCCCAGATGGGATGCCGGCACTTGAAGAGAGAGGATTGGCCCTTTGAGCCATCAGGTTGGCCCCTTTAGCTGTTTTATCACCATTGTTTAGTGCTATCAATCATAATCTGATCATGTGAAAATGTTGAAAGAGTTATACTGAATAAGTGTATTAGTGTTTTTGCCTCAAAATTGTTTGGAAAGTCAAAAATGCTCAAGATTGTGTTATCACATCTTCTTTCTGTTCCAGAACACTTCCGAGAGTCAGAGTTGTGCCAGAAGTCTCTTAATGGCCGATAGGATGCAAGTAGTTTTGATTCTCTCTGAGTTTTTTAATACCACCTGGCAGGAGGCAAATTGTGCAAGTAAGTCATTTCCCTGTTGCAGTTCCAGATCAGCAGAATACATGTGAGATTTTATTTGAGTTGTTGTATTTTTGGATAATGCTTTTTATTACCAAGTTTGAATGAACTGTCGTTAGCATTATGGCTTTTTAGCAGTGACTGCTTGGACAAATATTGACAAAAACATGTAGCAGTTAACGGTAGGAACTTTGGAGTCAGGTGGAAATGGGATTGGTTCTGAGCTCTGTCACTTAGGGCAAATTTGTGTCTTGCAATTTCAATTTCTCCATCTACAAATTGATGTCAATGTTAGAACTTATCTTGCATCACTTATGAATAAAATAAATGGGTAAAATATTTAGCTTAGAGCCTGACATATACTTCATTGTTCAAGAAATACTAGCTATTTGCTGTCACAATAATTATGTTTATAATAATCTTTCAAATAATGTGTTTGCGGGGGGGCATGAGAACGCTGATTTTATCACCTTTACAGAGTTGTGTGTATCTGTAATAAAATCTTTCAGATACACTCTGGAGAAGTTAATATCACCATTTCTCTTTTATAACTCTGCCTTTCAAATAAATAAATAAATCTGAGGGAAAAATAAAGAAGATAATGACTTCCTATGACATAGTTGATGTTAAAAACGTAACTGGGGACCAGTGTGGTAGCATAGCTGGCTAATTCTCTATTTCTAGTTCTGGCATCCCACATGGGCACCAGTTCAAGTCCTGGTTGCTCTACTTCCTGCTCCAATTCCCTGCATATGGCTTAGGAAAGCAAAGGAGGATGGATGCCTCGAGTCCTTGGGTTCTTGAACTCACGGGAGTCTTTTAGGGAAACCTAAAAGAAGCTCATGGTTCCTGGCCTCTTCTGAGTCTCCCACACGGATTCTGGGTCTTAAGGCTTTAGGCCATCAACAATACTTTCTCAGGCCACAAGCAGGGAGCTGGATGGAAAGTGGAGCAGCCAGGACATAAACCATGTGGATCCTGATGCATGCAAGGTGAGGATTTAGCCACTGAGCTGTTGCATCGGGCCTGAGCTTGCTTTCTTTTCTTTTTTTAGAAGATTTATTTATTATTTGAAAGGCAGAGAGAGAATGAGGGAGCATGAGTCGTTCATCTGCTGATTCACTCTCCAGATGATCACACTGGCCTGGCCTGGGCTGAGCTGAACCCAGAACCTGGGAACTGCATCTGAGTCTCCCACATGGGTGGCAGAAGCCCATGTACTTTGGCCATCTTCAGCTGTACGCCTAGGTGCATGAGTAGAGAGATGAATTGAAAGTGGAGCATCTGGGATTCAAACCAGTACTGTGGGATGCCAGTATGGCAACCAGCAGCTTAACTTGCTGAGCCAGAATGCTGGCCCCAGAGGTAAACATTCCTTGTACTGTCTAGACCACCAGAGTATTATTAAAACAGGGTCGTATAGTGGGTTATAAACTGGGATGTTGAATGTTAAAGTGCACATGGAATATTAAAGGCAAGGGAAAGTATTGCAGGCTGCAACCATTTTTTTTTTTAAACATCAAAGACTCTTTATCATGGGACCCCATTAGAAGAGATAGAGACCACTAAGGAGTTTATAATAGTAGTTTGGGCAAGAAGCGAAGGAAATATGCAGGTGAGGATCTTGGAAGTAGAAAGGACAAGGCAGGGTGAAGGTCTGTGTTCTTGTATTTTGTTACCTAGCTTGATGGATGGGAGAAAGCCCCTCTGCCAAGTTTCCTTTCTTCCTGGTGTACCATGCTGTATTGAATACTGATGCTCTTTCAGAGCATTTTATTTCTCCATTTATTTCATTTATTTGAAAGGCAGAGAGAAAGAGAGCACTCTCATTTGCCAAATGGATCTGGGCGGGGCCGACCCCAGGAGGCAAGAATTCACTTCCCCATGGGTCGTGTGGACTCAAGTACTGGAGCCCTCACCTGCTGCCCCCACAGTGCATATGAACAGGAAACTAGAATTAGGGTTGGAGCTGGGTCTCAAACCCAGGTACTCTAGTATGCATTGTAACCACTGCACCAGATGTCTACCCCAGAATACTTTTAATTTTGTCTCTATTAATTCGTACTTTCTCATAGTTTCAACAGGGGCTTACTTGATGGGACTTTTTTACAGAAGGAAAAAAATTTAGAGTGAAATATTCTGGTGTAGAAATGATTGAGTAGAGGTTGTTTAACCTCTTAAAAGACCTGTCTCAGAACAATCGTAAGGACCCATAATGGTAGCCTAGTGGCAGAAGTCCTCACCTTGGGAGCCAGAGGAAGTTCCTGGATCCTGGCTTCAGGTCGGTTCAGCTGTAGCAATTGCGGCCACTTGGGGAGTGAACCAGCAGACAGAAGATCTTTCTTTCCTCTAAATCTTTCCAATAAAAGTAAATTGAAAAAATCATAAGCTCTTAAAAACTCATTGATATGGGAAAACATGTTAATTATCCATAACAATAAATAAATCAGAATAAATGAGACATGTGTTGGGATTTACTTTTTTGTGAGGAAAAACATCTTTTCTTTGAAAGTATTTCAGAGCCTAGTGCAATGGCTCAATTGGCTAATCTTCCCCTTTCAAGTGCCAGGATCTAATTATGGGTGCCAGTTCATGTCCTGGCTGCTCCACGTCCCATCCAGCTCCCATCCAGCTCCCTGCTTATGGCCTGGGAAAGTATTGTTGGATGGCCCAAAGCCTTGGGACCCTGCACTCACATGGGATACCTGCAAGAAGCCCCTGGCTTCTGGCTTTGGATCAGCTCAGCTCCAGCTGTTGTGGCTACTTGGAGAGTGAACCAGCAGATCTTTGGCTCTGTCTCTCCTCTCTGTAAATCTGTCTTTCTAATACAAATACATTTTTTTAAGTATTTCAAAATGAAGATTTTATTAACTCCAAATAGCATTCTTCCCCAGTAAAAAAAGACAGTTTACTATGTATTTGCTGAACACAATGGGTATTAAGCCCTTTAGAGTGCTCGGAGGTCTTGTTTGTTCTTCTGTTAGACATCCTATTTTGAAAATATTGTTTATTGAACTTCTATAGAGCAACTAAAATGCTATGCAGTTATGAGTTATTCAGAAGATCCTTACTTTCCAGTTACAATTAACTTGGTCATGTCATGGCATATACAGTCAGGTGAAAGAAACCAGGTGCAGGGAAGTATGGTATATTTTGTCCTAAAAATATCTAAAAAGATTTTGAGGGAGGGGAATTGGATAGCTGAGCCTGGGAAGGAAAATGCCCTATGTGCACTGTATTTATACTTTACTCTTTGAAACATATGCATTTGATGCCCTCCTACTTGAGGCATCATCACTGCCTCCTGGGTTTGTACTCCAGGAAAGCTGTAACCAACAGTGCAGCTCAGGCCCTCTGTCACGGGATGTGGGCTGTTTACAGGCATCTGAAACAGCAGACCCAATTCCAGCCCTTAACTAGATTGGTTTTCCAGTAGTGCTTTGGTTCTTTGGTAAACAGTATCCAATATGAACTGCTATAATAATAATATTTACTCCCATATTATTAGTTAAGATGTTTGTCCTTACGTTCTGAAAACCTACTTTCTTTATGAGTAACATGTTTTTTTTTAAAGATTTATTTCTTTTTATTGCAAAGTAAGATATATAGAGAGAGGAGGAGAGACACAGAGGAAAATCATCCATCCAATGATTCACTCCCCAGGTGACCACAACGGTGAGAGCTGTGCTGATCCAAAGCCAGGAGCAAGGAGCTTCTTCTAGGTCTCCCACATAGGTGCAGGATCCCAAGGCTTTGGACTGTCCTCAACTACTTTCCCAGGCCACAAGCAGGGAACTGGATTGGAACCAGTGCCCATATGTGATCCCGGCATGTTTAAGATGAGGACTTGAGCCGCTAGGCTATGGTGCTGGCCCTATGAGTACCGAATCTGCAATGATCTGGGTGATAATAGTGGTGCTGGTGAATCACTGCAGTCCTGACGTACATTCTGATTCATCAAAGGGAAATTAAGATGCAGTGAATACTTATTACTAAAGTCCTAATGCTTTAAAATAAGCAATAAAATGCAGTGCCTAATCAGGTCAGCTAACCAGCCAGCAGCCGTTTTCACGTATTTTATGTAGGTAGAAGTATGCCAAGTGTTTGATCTATTTGTTTGCATCTCATAGCTTGGTATGTCCTAGTTTTTAATGTCTGTTCAAAGTAACTGGACTTCAGGTACAAAAATTCCACAATTACTCCATACTATCAGAACCTCTCTTTTTAAAGAAATAGTTGATTGTTTTCTATAATAGCAGTTTTTAAAAACAGCAGAGAATTTTATGTAAATTCCCAATAGATTCCAGATACTATATTTAAAGATGTGTAATTCCTGTTAGGATAATGTCATAGGGTTTCTATGTAAGTCTAAGTGGAATCCTAAAGCCTTTAAGGACGCCTCTTGAGCCGATGACTGAGCCCTTACTGAAAGAGATGTGACGCTAATCTGCCCTTGATGAGGCTCCATTGATTGTCTGAGCTGACAAAAATCCATAATGACCACTTCATTTAGAGGAAGCCTTATTATTGCTAGGATTCCTTAACTTACTAATTTCTAAAATATGTGGTTTCTCACTGTTTATAACCTTCTGTTCCCATTCCCTACAAAGAGGTGAAAGAGGAATTTGCTGGAATTCCTTTGTTTTGAATTAGAAAGTCAGGACTCTTTAGTAATGAAGGTATTTTTAACCCCATTATATAAATGAAGTCCTTTGTCAAGCCACTGTCTAATGGTGACTGAACAAATGTTCCTGCAACCATAATGCAGCACTCAAGGAGATGACCAGTCTATGCAGGCGTTTAGTTTAATTTTCAAATTCTTGTAAGTGAAAAGCAAATGACTGACTGTAAAATTGATGATATTAAGTCCTATTATTCTACTGAGAAGATTTCTTTGTGAATTACTTTTGAGTAAAGAAATTATTTGTTATAACTATGTGTCTTGTATGGAAGAAATTTGCCACCACACTCTCCCAGGAAAGACCTTTGCATTGCTTTGATGGGCGGGGCAGGGGCCCTGCGCTCTTTGATCCATATTGGGGCATGACAGTAGTCTTGACCGGCTCACTGTAGCACAGGTGTGCAGTTGCTATGAAGGAAATTGTGCTCCCTGAACAGGGATTCCCTGCACAACATCTGCTGCAAAAGCTAAAACTTGCTATTCGAGCTCCTTAGCCTGATGGTGTGTAATAGGCTGCATCTGTGTAACTGAGTTTACTTGTGTTTCTGGCCAGTCGGCCTCATCGCTGCAAGGATTCAGGGCTACTTCAAGATGACTTTAGCCAGCATTAAGAGTGGCTGATGTTGTTCTTATAATTATTTAAACAATTTGGGCTTTGAACTTGGTGAAAGCTGACAGATGAGTGACATACTTAAATACTAAAGAAAACATGGCAAAAACAATAGAATACTTAATTGGGAGCTTTCCAGGAAAGTGTTTTTATGTTTCAGTGTCTTAAAATTAATTTCATGTATAGGCCTTAGAATATCACCTTATTTGTCTGGCTTAGTTTCCTATGATGCCTTTGATTTTTAAATTACAGTGCACTCAGATAGAAATAGAATTTATGTCCCTCCCCCCCTTTCTTGAACATAGAAAGTAAAAATAAGTTTCTTGATTTTTCTTACTTACTTAAAAAAGGTATTAACACATAATATGTGTGCATTTTAAGGGGCACAGTGCAATATTTCAATATATATGCGTAGTATAAACTAATCCTTCCATATAGCCAGCCTTTTTGTTTCCTTATTGCTTCTTTGTTTTTGGAGCTTTTCCACTTCTCTGTACAGAATAGAATACATTATCCTGAGCTGCAGCTGCCACGTGGTACTGTCAGATACAAGCATCTCCACACCCTTCTCAGTCTCTGGTAATCTCTATCTTAAATACAGGTCAACTATATTTTTAAATGAATATATATATATATATATATATATATATATACAATTTAAGTACACTTATGTATATTGCATTACCATCTATGAGAACATGGAATATATGTCTTTCTGTATCTGGTTTATTTCACTCATCATAGTGCTCTCTAGTGTCACCTATTTTACTCCCAGTGTCAGGATTTCATTGTTTTTCACAACTGGATAATAATCCATAGTGTAAATAGAGCACATTTGCTTTATCCATTCACCAGATAACAGACACTGGAGTTGAGCTGTATCTTAGCTGTTGTGAGTAGTGCTGCAGTGAACATGGTAATACAAGTGTCTCTTTCAGATGCTGATTTCATACCCACAGGTGGGACCGCTGCCACAGAAGATGGATCTGTTTTTAGGTTTTTGAAGAAATTCCACACTGTTCTCCCTAGTGGCTATACTAATTGGTATTCCCACTAATGGTGCTTACGGGGTTTCTTTTTTTCTGCATCCTCATCAGCATTTGTAGCTTTTTTTTTTTTTAAGATTTATCTATTTTCATTGGGAAGGCAGATGCAGATCAGCTGATCCAAAGCCAGGAACCAGAAGCTTCAGGGTCTCCCATGCAGGTACAGGGTTCCAAGCCTTGGGCTGTTCTTGACTGCTTTCCCAGGCCTCAAGCAAGGAGCTGGATGGGAAGCGGGGCTGCTGGGACACAAACCAGCGTCCATCTTGGATCCTGGTGTGTGCAAGGTGAGGATTAGCCACTAGGCTACCACGCCAGGCACACTTTTTGTCTTATAATGACCTTTCTCTTTGCAGTGAGGTGATACCCCATGATGATTTTCATTTCCTTGATAGCTAGTGACACTTGGCATTATTGATCATTTGGATCTCTTCTCTTGAGAAATGTCTATTTAGATCATTTGCTCATTTCTCAACTCAATAGTTGTTGAGCTTTTTGATTGCCTTACATATTCTAGATGCTAGCACTTTGTCAGCGGGATAGGTATATAAATATTTTATCCCATCTGTTGATTGTCTCTACTCTGTTGATTATTTCCTTGACTGTACAGAAGCTTCTTGGTTTGCTGTAATTCCATTTGTCTGTTTTGCCTTTATTGCCTGTGCTTTTGCTGTGCATTGCTTTGCCAGTGGGACTCATGTTCTTAAGATAAAGCAGCAGAGAATAGGGACTACATGAATTCAGAGAATGGAAGAATCCAGAATGAGGAGCACCAAGACAGTTCTGAGCACCCTGGACGCAGAAAGGGCGCTGCACCTGGGGGCACGCTGAGGAGGTAGATAGGGTTCACCCTGACATTGGCTGTGGAGCCAGGAGTTGCCTTGTTATAATTCATCTACCTCGGGACAATGCCTTTTGCCAGTTTGCACAGTGTTAGGATGCTAATTCTGCAAATGGCACAGAAATAGCATCAAGAAGTTCAGATCACATAGATAGGCATTTGTGAAGGATGTTAGCCCCAAGTTGCTTAGCAACATGCTTTTTGCCAAGAAGCACAATAAGAAGGACTGGAAAACAGAGCCCACAACTGCATGGAGCTAGTGTCCTGGTGTGCTGTTGGTGCAGATAAACCTAATGGAAGGTGAAAAAACGAAAAATTGTTTGATGGTCCTGAGACAAGAGACATGAATCTCTAAGCAAGTGGGGAGCACAGAGTGAATGAAGGCTGCCCAGGGTTGAAGACATTTATGTAGATGTGGAAGGGAGAACGGGCAAGCATGCCAGGAGTGTGAGACGAGGTGGCGGACTGGAGCAAGCCGGGAACACAGGGAGAGGTCACAGCTTCATGAAGACATGTCCCTGGAGGGAGCAGGGGAAGCAGCCTCTGGAGCGATCCTACATAGACCCTACATGTCAGCTACTGACATTGCAGGCAGATGCAGAAAAAGGCTATTTACAGAAGAGTTTTTAGAAACACGTAAACATAATTTACCTGAATTCTAATCAGCATTTTAGGCAAAATTCCAGGACTTATAACTCATGATAGATTAGAGCGCTAATCAAAAAAATGTTATGCTGTACAATAAATGAACCATTTGTGATGTGGAAAGAGATACAGAACTGCTAAATCTGACATGGAAAGGATTAAAAGGCATGTGTGTGTGTGTTAAAATTAATGCACGATTAACAGTCTTCTGCCTCTACAGTACCATTAAAGCTGGTATTTAGGATTCTGACCTTTGGCATCCAAAGTCAATTTAAATTTGTCAGTCTTTTAGTTCAGCAACCCTAATTGACTGCATGATTCTAGAATTGGACAACATTTCATTCCATGAACTATAATAAGTGTTCCTGTTGTACTGCTTGTATAGAAACAGGAGGGTATATGATTATTTAAAAATTTTTCATGAAAATGGTTATGATTTTTAAAAAAGCTTTTAAAAACTAAAAGGAGTAAGCTTCATGTATTTGGGAAATTCTTTTATGTGGAGTTCTTCATGCTTGTTTGAGTAAAGAATTATAGTGCAAAATAGAAGGTGATAGCTAGAGAAATAAATAACAATATGTAATTGTTGCTTGAGATATATTAGTATGCTTTTTCTGTTTTGTTTTGACAGATTGTTTAACAAACAACAGTGACGAATTATCAAACAGCACAGTACATTTCCTCAATCTATTTAATAGCACCCTGACCTGCTTTGAACATAACCTTCAGGTATTTTGTAAATGATTTTTTAACAAACTAATTCTGAGGAGCAGAAAGAGAGGGTAAGAGAGGAGGGAGAGAGAGCGAGAGCTCTGCCAGCAGCAGTTTACTCCCCGAATGCCTGCAGGGCTAAAGCTGAGCAGAAGCCAGGAGCTGGAAGCTGAAGCCAGGCTCTAACACCGGTAGCAGGAGCCCACGTCCGGAGTCATCACCCCTGCCTCCCAGGGGTTACATTAGGAGGCTAGTGGCAGAATCTTGAGCTGGGAACCAACCAAGATACTCCAACTGGGATCTAGGCATCTTTTTCTATTCTTTCTTTATTTTCTCTCTCTTTCATCTTTTCTCTCTTTGTTTCTATCTATCTATCTATCTGAAAGGCAGAGTTAGAGAGAGATCTTTGTTTTACTGATTCACTCCTCATATAGTCACAGCAGCCAGGACTGGCTTGTGTAGCTGGCAGGAATGTGTGGATGTAGATTCCCAAGTACTTGAACCATATTCTGCTGCTTTCCCAGGCACAGTAGCTGGAAGCTGGCTCAAAAGTGGAGCAGCTGTGTCTTGAATAGAAGCCCGTATCAGGTACTGACAGTGGATTTACCCCCGTGCCACAATGTTAAGCCCCAGGGCCTTATATTTTACAATATATTGATTGATTGATTTATGAGGCAGAGTGATGGAAAGGAAAGACAAAGAGAGGAGAAGAGAGGAGGGGAGGGGAAGTTTATTTTCCAAAATGCCCAGAACAACCAGGGCTGGGCCCCAGGAGCCTGGACCTTCATCTGGGTCTACAGCATGGGTGACGAAGACCAGAGTACCCGCACAACACGGCTGTCCCAGGTGCATTAGCTGGACCAGACGCCAAGTCCCAAGCACTGATACTGGCACTGCGCCAGGGGATGCAGGAGCTGAATTTCACCTGTAGCACCAATACACCTGCCCCAAGAAATCAGGAGAAAAGGCATGTGCTATGTCATCGCTTCCTGAATCCTTTTCCTGGTGTGGTTATACTACCACTTCTTTAGCTAGTCCCTGTATTGACATTTTGGTTCAGTGTTTTATCAATTGCTGCCATAGACAGCTTTTTTTCATGTAATTTGGAGAACTTTTATGAATTTGTTTGTTATAACTTAAAAATGGAATTGCTCCATCAGAAGATGTATACTTTTTAAAGTTTTGATAGAATTGGTTTAATAGAAATGATTAAGTCAAGATTTTGTTTTGGTTTTAGCTAAATCAGCAATTATTTTGTGAAAAACAGACAGTGGGCTATTCCTTTTGACACATCAAGTGGAGACTTGGTTTTGCTGTCAGTAAGTGATTAAGCTAACATGGTAGGGGTTGTGTCAGTTTAATTGCTTTGGTTTTTCTTCCTTTTTCTCTTTCATTCCAGTGTGCAGTTAATGTCCTTTGTGCTACACGGTAAAGCATATAGACTAGAATGCAATCTATAGGGCCTGGCACAATGGCTCAATGGTTACATCCTCACCTTGCACACCTGGTATCCCATATGGGCACCAGCTTGTGCCTGGGGCTTCTACTTCCCATCCAGCTTCTTGCCTGTGGCCTGGGGAAGCAGTAAAGGATGGCCCAAAGCCTTGGAACCTTACACCCATGTGGGAAACCCTAAAGAAGCTCGCGGCTCCTGGCTCCTGGCCTTGGATTGGCTCAGCTCTAGCCGTTACAGCCATTTAGGGGGGTGAACCAGCAGATGACAGATCTTTCTCTCTGTCCCTCCTCCTTTCTGTAAATCTGCCTTTCCAATGAAAATAAATCTTAAAAAAAAAAAAAAAAGATAAGTGGAAAAGGTTGCCTGTACTGACATAGTATACACTTCTAATTTTTATTAAAAAAAATTTTTTTTTCAAACAGATATCTTTCAATTGCTGGTTTGCTCTCCAAATGTCACAATTGGGGATGGGCATTTTATGTGGTGGTTAAGGTGCCACTGAGGACACCCCCATCCCATGCCTAGAATGCCTGGGTTCAAGTGCCTGCTTAGCTCTACTCCTGATTCCAGCTGCTATCACATACCTAGGAGCCAGTAGTGATGTCTGAGATGACATTCCTCTGCTGCCAGCTGACTGCCCAACCCTAACTGTTGTGGGTATTTGGGGAGTGAGCTGGTGAATGGCAGAAACAATGCCTCTGTGTGCGTATGTCCTCTTCCTGCCTCCTCTGTCTTTTTAAATTTAAAAATTTGTACAAAATGTTGATTCTCATTAAGTCTACACAGGCAGGAACATATATATATATTTAATTTTGTTAAAATAGGAGAGAGAAATGCAGTCAGATAATGACAAGATAACTTGGTCATTTTGATATTCAGTGTTTAGTGTCCCAATGGGACACTGCATACTCTACTTCTGATCCAGCTCCCTGCTGATGGCCTGAGAAAAGCAGTGGAAGATGGTCCAAGTGCTTGAGCCCCCACATCCCTGCGGGAAACCTTGAAGAAGTTCCCAGTTCCTGGGTTGGGTCTAGCCCAGTTTCAGTGATGGAAGTCATTTAGGGGAGTGACCCAGTGGATGGAGGGTTTCTTTCTCTCTTTCTCTCTTCTCTCACTCTCTGTAACTTTGTCTTTCAAATAAATTATTTATATATATACATAAATATATATAATTAGATATAAATCTTATATATATGATTCATATATAAGATTATATATAAATATAAATCATATATATAAGATTTTATATATAAATCTTATATGTATATATAAGATTTTTATTTGAAAGAATTACAGAGAGAAGGAAAATCAGAGAAGAGAGATTTATCTATTGCTTCATTCCCCAAATGGCTAAGATGGCCAAAGCTGGGCCAGTTCGAAGCAAGGAGTCAGGAATTTCACCCAGCTTTCCCACATGGGTGCAGGGGCCCAAGCACTTGGGCCAAGCACACAATTCTGACCCTAAAAAAAAAAAAAAAAAATCCTAAAAATAAAACAAAAAAATCAACTTAGAGGCGTCTAAAAGATGCCAGATATTTTGCCATGTGCTTTCCACATGAGGTCTGTTGTCTCTGAAACCTAATAGAGGTAGTCACCCTATTTTATAGATGCATAAGCCCGAGACTGAGAGTGGCTCTGTAACCTGCCCAATGTCACAACTCAACACTCCAACACAGCATAGTGTTTCCTCTCTTCTGGAGGGCAGATGGCTCACACATAAAAGACTTACCAAATGTACTGTTTTTGTGTGTCTTAAATGCACCTTTGTCATTTTTAGGTGAGTCTTCTACCACCAAAAAATTACTCAGAAGTGTGCAAAAACTGTAAGGCTGCCTACAAAGCACTGAGTGATCTGTACAGTGAAATGCAGAAAGCGAACGAACGTGAGCATAAGGCTGAACCTGGGACACATTTGTGCATCGACGTAGAGGACGCTGTGAGTACTTTGCTTCCAGTGGAACGCGTAGGTGACATGTTGAATGGGCCTAGGATCCCTTTGGGAGGTGCGGCCGATTCGTACATGCTGTCCTCAAGCAGAAATAGCTGCGTCATACTAAAATGGACGTTAATCAGGCACTCATAAGTGAGCTAATTTAGTACTTTTCTTTTTGTTAGTTTGAAAATGTGTTCATTTCAGATATGTAGGTATTATTGTAAGTTTACAGTTGAGTTTCTGGTACTCTTAGTGCCAATTCAGGAAGTTTCTGGGTTTTACTACAGCTTGTTTCCGAAGCCATTCCTCAATCACTTCATATCTCATTGCTTTATTTCTGTACCTCTTGCCATCTTTATGTGTTTATTCATTTATAGTTTGTCTCATTAAAATGTAAGGACCTAGTCGTTTTTGTTCACTCTTCAGTGTTTAGGACAATGCCTGGCATGTAATGGGCTTTTGATAAATATACACTGAATGAATAACTAACAACAAAAAGCTTTTGTGGTCATTGTATAGGCTGCCTTTACACAGGACACCACTAGATGGCAATCCTGCCTTTTTTTCCGCAATACGAAGCCCAAGAATGGAAATTATTGTCTCAAAGTAGAGAAGTTGGGGGTCAGAGTTGATGGTTCATGGTGAGAATAATGAATGTAAATTAGCATGGCATCTCAGAGTGAAGCATAGTGGATCAGTAATATTAATATTAACTATTTTTAAATTTTAAATAAGCAATATATTATTTAATAGTCCTGTTCCTTCCCACACCCCCTCTCACCGCTGGTACCGGGGTCCTCCCCAACTTCCCCAGCGCCTGCCTCCATGGATGTTTCATACCTGAAAACTAGCCAGCGTGGCTGGGACCAGTGCTTCCTTGAAGTGGGCCCCGGACAGCGACCTGCACCACACTAGGGCAGGAGGCCCAGACCTGGCTGGGGATGCACCGTGCAGGGGCCCCTGTGATGGGGCACTCAGGCTGGATCTGCCCATGTCCCACCCTTTATTTTATTTTATTTTTTTCATTCCTGCACCCGTCCTCTGCTGGGACCCATTGTGTGTGTGTGTGTGTGTGTACTGTGCCTTTTCTTGCTGTTGTATGGGGAGAGGGGTGGGTTTTTCATGGAAAAAGGGTATATCTTTGGCTTCCTCAATGTCAGATCATTCACTGTGTCCCACACAGCTTATTCAATAAACAGATTGGAACCACACACCCCCTCCAAAATAAGGATAGTAAAAACCATGTCAGATAGCTGTGCCATGAGAATTTTTGTTTCTGTTACCTTGTTCTTCTTGTTTAGAACAGTGTCTAGTTTTTTGTAGGCTCTCAAGAATAATGTTAAAGCTTTTTTTTTTTTTCATTTTATTTGAAAGAGATAGTGAGAAAGAGATTGGTGGAGAGAGATCTTCCACCTGCTGTCTCACTCCTAAAAGTTGGAAACAGCTGGGACTGGCCAGGTAGAGCCAGGAGCTTGGACTCCATCCACATATCCTGTGACAGAGTCTCAAGTGCTTGAACCATTATTTGCTGCCTCCCTGGTGTGCACATTAACAAGAAGCCGGCTGGTGTGATAACCTGGTGGCTAAAGTCCTCACCTTGCATATGACAGGATCCCGTATGGGTGCCAGTTCGTATCCCAGGTGCTATACTTCCCTTCCAACTCCTTGCTTGTGGTCTGGGAAAGCAGTTGAGGGAATGCCCAGTTGGGACTCTGCATCCTGGTGGGAGACCTGGAAGAAGCTCCTGATTCCTGGCTTCAGATCATCTTAAGCGGCAATTGCAGCCGCTTGGGGAGTGAACCAGCGAATGGAAGGTCTTTTGCTCTGTTTCTCCCTCTCTCTGTAAATCTGACTTTCCGATACATCTTAAAACAAACAAAATCGGAGTGGTCGGGACGTGAACCAGCACTCTCTTATGGGGTGCAGGCATCCCAGGTATCCGTTTAAACTTGTACCAAATGTCCACCCCAAATAATGTATGATTTTTAATCAAGAAAGCAGTCTAACTATTAACTATTAATCTAAGTCCATATAATGCTATAAATGATTGATATTCTAAAGAATACTTTAGTTAGTGTTATAGATTTAGAATAGGAAATTTTGATGTAGGTGTAAATTTATATGGTGACTAATTGTGAATCAGTTCATTTTCCTGGTAAGAAATTGTTCTCAACTGCTAATAGATCTTTTGGGATATGTGCTTGAAGACAATTAAGTGTAAAATAGAATACTATTTGTTATTGTTGCAGATGAACATTACTCGAAAACTTTGGAGTCGAACTTTCAACTGTTCGGTGCCCTGCAGTGACACGGTGCCCGTAATTGCTGTCTCTGTGTTTATTCTCTTCCTGCCCGTGGTCTTCTACCTTAGCAGTTTCCTTCATTCAGAGCAAAAGAAACGCAAACTCATTCTACGTAAGTTCTTTTTACGACTATTCATTGGTTTAAATAAAAGCCCTTATTCAAAGAATTTAGGCTTGTTTTTAAAATAATACATAGTCTGGTATTTCAAAACATACTGTGTTTTACAATTATGCTTACTGATGAGGGAGATGGGTAAGGATTTTTGTAAGAGCACATAATCAAAGCACAGCATCTTTCAGATCATTTACTGGGGAAGGTTTGATCACCCCACAGAACAAGGCTGGCAGTGACAGGAGCAACTTGGGACACTTGGGCCAGGCATAGCAATAGTGCTGAGATGGAGGCAGCTCCAGGCCGGAGGAGTTCTGGTAGAACCACTGAAAGCACAGCAGGCAGGAACAGTGACAGCTGGCATGCAGGGAGCTTACGGACAAGCTCTACATGTAGTCCTGGGAGTATGACATCTACACGTAGTCAAAGAAGCAGGGAGCCCTAGCCAGAAAATCCCATCTAGCAGAAGTGTTGCCTTTCAGTCATACAGCTTTCTTGTTTGTTATCAATATGAGTTTATCTTTCATTAATTTCAATTTTTAAAGAGATTTTTTGTTAAAATATTTTTCCCTTCAAAAAAAATGTTTTTGTTTTAAAGAACCTGAAATCACATTCCTGGCACTTTTTAACCCAATTTCATGTCTAATAGATATTTTCATTTGTTCACTTTTTTTGAAAAATGCCTGTTGAGCAGTTTGAACTGTACTTATGCCATCATGTATCAATATTACCTACTTTGCAATGGGTGTATTTAGTGAGACTTGCTGAAGTTTCCCAGCATCTTTCACACACATAATAGCTTCGTTCCCAAAGCATGTATTTAGAACAGTAGCTAGAAAAGCAGCAAAATATTACAGGGACATGACTGCTGAGGAATTTTATTTTGCATGGTGTGATGTACTTTTAAAGGTTTAGCCTCTTGCTTGTCTTGCAAATCTATTTAATTTCTCTCTCTTTTTGTTAAAGATTTACTTATTTCTCTGAAAGACAGGGATGGAAAGAGATCTTCCATCTGCTGGTTCACTCCCCAGATGGCCAGAACAGCTGGGCTTGGGGGACTCACAGTCGTGGGTAGCAGGGGCCCCAGGTCCTTGGACCATATTCTGCTGCTTTTTCATGTGCATTGACAGAGAGCTGAATCGGAAGCAGAGCAGCCAAGATTCAAGCTGGGACTGGATAGGGTGCCTGCGTCACAAAGCCAGCCTCCCAGCCTTTTAACTCTGTGGAAGGCATTTACTGCTTCTGACTGGGGCTTTTCGTTTGTCTGCACAGTAAGGATTACCTTCATCCATCTGCTGTGTGAGCCGCAACCTTACAGATGTTTCTTAATTCTTTTCTCCACTAGTGTTTCCCTCCTCACCCCCTTCCAGTTTGTCAGCAAGATTGCTGCCAGTCTTGCTTCCAAAAACCTGTCTTAGGTCCTCTCTCTGCCTCCACTTGTCAGCTCTGCCCCATCATCATCCTCCCTTACCTGTACTTCCACAGGTGTGCCTTAACTGATATTCCTGCTTCCATCTCTTGAACTAAAAATCACACCCCATATATTAATGAGATCATTTAAAAAAATTTTGTTTTTATTGCAAAGTCAGATATACAGAGTGGAGAGGCAGAGAGGAAGATCTTCCATCCGGTGATTCACTCCCCAAGCAGCCACAACTGCTAGAGCTGAGCCAATCTGAAGCCAGGAGCCAGGAGCCTCTTCTGGGTTTCCCACACGGGTCCAGTGTCCCCAGGTTTTGGTCTGTCCTCGACTGCTTTCCCAGGCCACAAGCAGGGAACTGGATTGGAAGCAGGCCACCTGGGACATGAACTGGTATCCATATAGGATCCCAGCAGATGCAAGGCAAGGACTTTAGCCACTAGGCTACAACACTGGGCCTGAGATCAATTTTTTAAAATGGATTTGTACCACATTCCTGTCCAACTTGTAATCTTTAATGTGTTACTGTTTTATCTAGGCTAAAATTGAAACTTAAGTGTCAGTATCTGTTCTCCAAACTGTGCATGATATGCCCCCTCCAACACACACTTTTTGAAGCTCATCTACTCTTCCCTTCCTAGTTCTTGACACTGTTCTTTCTTGTCCTCTCAAACCCCAGCCTCACTCGTACCACTCCTTTTTGCAATCCCTTCCCAGTTTCTTAGCCTGGCTCCTGGCCAGCCAGATCTGAGCTCACAGGTTCCTTGCTCAAAGGGACTCTTAGGACCCTCCTCCAAATCTAAACTCACAGCCTTTCTTTCTGTCTTACTTGTTGTCTTTGTTTAATCACACTTAATCACTAAACTAATTGCAGTTGAATAAATTGTTTGAATTAATCTTTTCATGGTAAATACTCAGAATGGTTGAATGAAAGGACATTGTACTCTACTTAATTGAAGAGTGTGTTCTTCAAAATACTAGTCCTGTGAAAAGAAAATTCTTATGGATAAAAGAAGACCTGGACGTGCTTTATCCCATGTGTTTTTCATGTGCCTGATTCTAAGTTAAAAGCGCTAAGGTTTCATGTTGGAAGACTTGCAGGGAGTGGCTTCCAGCAGTACCTACCACTGTTGTGTGGAAGCATGCAGGAAGCCCACTTCAGGAGCAGGTGACCAGTTCCTGTCCTGCTTCCTCACAGGCTGCTGCGTGTCCGCCAGCATGCTCACACTGTGGTGAGAATCGGGAGCAAAGGTGGCGCCATCTCTGCCCTCCAGGTGGTATGGATGAGTGGAGCATGGACAGTGGAGGGTAGGGCCACCTGCGGTGCTGGCATCACCATTAGTTGGTACCTGGGGTAGAACTAGAGAAGATGGCAGGATTTACCAAGTAGAGGTTACAGAGGCAAGCAAGTTTTAGGGGTACGTACCTACTGGTACTGGTATCTGGTTGTTTGGCTAAAGTAATTTGATAATTACTAGGAAGCTAGATCACATCTAGTAATTGTCAGCAAATTTAAAAAAGAAAATCCAAACCACTGATTTTGTTTGCCCTAGTTTCAAATTCATCTTGTGGTTTAGGTCAAAGCATTAGACTCCAAGAAGTCATGCAGTCATTCACACACAGAGCAGTGGTCAGGGGAGACTCATAGAAACCAGAACAGGGATTCTCATCTTTGCCTGACAGAATTATCTACAGAGCTTACAAAACAGTTAGATACTTGAGTCCCATTGTAGACCTAACCACTCAGGAAAGACTGCTTGGCTCCTTCCTGTGGGTGGAACTGCCTCACTGGGCCTGTGGTTGCCTGTGCGCTCTGAATTGCTTGTCTGGCTGCTTCCCAAGGCCAAGGTTGTGTGAGCCAGTCCTCCTAGCTGCTTTCTAGGCAGCGAATAGTAGGTGAGAGCTCTTCAGGCTCAGGGTCTGTTTCCCAGAATCTCCTCTGGGCTGGGAGAGGGGATGTGCAAACTGTGGAGGTGCTTGAAGCGGTTGCCTCACACTACCCCAAATGCGGTGACAACTTCTGATGATCCTCCGCAGCAAGAGCCTGGATGTGTAGGGTGCAATGTGGGCAGGCCCTTTCCCCAGGCAGTGCAGCCCAGCAGCTCCCTACACTGGGTGTAGAGCCTGTGCTTCTGCTGTCAATGGCTTGAATAGAGCTGGCTGCATTCCTTTTCCCCCCAAGCAAAGTCCCTGTCAGTTCAGAGTTGAACTTGAGGTGCCAAACAGATGTTCTGTGCATCATCCTGTTTCCTAGGAGGTTATTGTGTGTCTGCAGCCTTGGCAAGGTCTTGTCCTGCACTCCCTTCCTTGGCCCATCCACTCCCTGAAGGTGCAAGAAGAGGTACTGAGGCCGGCCGTTGGCCACGTGGCTATAGAGTTCTAGAGCCTCAGCCCATTGGCGAGTTGAGGCCTGATAGCAGGAACCCTGGGACTCTGCCTCGTACTGGATTTCATTCAGGTAGGCGTATGGTGTTTGGAACTAAGGCCTGGACTTAATTCATCCTCCCTTCTCTAGGGGAGGAAGCTCTCCGTGCCGTGCTTCCTGTAACTGAGGGAGGGGTGAGGCAGACAACTCTTCCCTGCCTGTCTTCTTCAAGCACTGGTTCTTACTGGTCCGAAATGAGACACTGGTCTCAACCGACCTCCCCACCTCTTGTAAAGGTAGAATTGGGTATGTGAATAGCTGTTCCAATTGTAACAGATCTTATTTGCAGCCATATGTATTTGTGTGCATATGTGTGTGTGTGTGTACAAGTCCTTTTTCTTTTTAAGTCGTTTGATTTTGGTTTTGTTGTTTTTGATGTTACAGGTTCTTCCACCGAAGTTTTTTTGTTTTCTTTTCCTGTCTGGGCCATTTCAACTTTCTTTCCCATATGTGAGCCTTTCCTTCTCTCATTTCACTGAGGCCAAGTTGGTAGTATGATCTTAAAACCCCAAGTATCTTTGTCTTGTTCCACATCTCCGGGGAAAGTCATGCTCTCCCTCACAGCTAAGCTACTGAGTGGTGTAGAAATCTTTGGACATGCCCTTGAATATGCTGAGGAAGCTTTCACTGAATGGTTTTCAGTGAAATTTACTTTCCCCACGTAGATTTTTAAATATATAATATTCTAATAACCTGTAGCACTTTGCTTTTTTAAGTGGATGACTCAGCTGCATTACATGCTTGAGACTAGAATATTCAGGAAGGTTGTAAGTGATATTTCTTTTGTTTAGTATGGCTTCTCACAGGCCTGGGGTACTTTCTCTATCATTTGAAGTTGGCAGAAAAAATTGACTTACATGTTAATTCTTGGAAGATTCGATCTGTATGGATTCAAGCAGAAATATTAGAGAAATATTATAGTTTGCATCACAACAGTGAATAATCATGCTCAGAGAATTACATTTCAGTTAAACTATGCTTTTTTTGATTTATACAGCCAAACGTCTCAAGTCCAGTACCAGTTTCGCAAACATCCAAGAAAATTCAAACTGAAACCTATGAAATGGAGACTGTGTAGTGTACCACTGGATGGACGGCGAGAGATAAAACTTGGTCAGATGAAGATAAACTGTGATTTGACGGGTCACGCTCCTGAGAAACGCAAGGACTCCAGATTTATTTTTAAATAAAAATTTTCAATCTTTCCTTCCTTTTCCACCCCTTTTTGTAAGGACTGTGCATTTTTCATCTGCAGGAAGAGCAGTGTTGTCTTGTTTTAAAGCATATTTGTTACAATAACAGAAGACAAGCGCAGTCTTGGCGTTTAGGACAGGTTGTTGCCGTCTGAGACTTGTGGGTTTTCTTTACTAACAAAAGTACCTCAAGTAGAAAAGTTTTTGAAAACGAGGACTTAAAATTTAACCAGTTACAAAAAAAGGCCCTGGGAAAGAAATGTCCTTGCCAAAGGTAATAGGTCCAACTGGTAAACTCCTCCTTGTTCAAGTATTATGTATATATTTAATATGTCATATGTTAAAATGGTGTAAGATTCAGTATTCACTTTCTCTAAAGTCACTTTTATCTTTGTATGAAAGATTTATGATAACTGGTTTCTTACTTGACTTTTATAAATGGTATTTTACATCTTATTTTTGCCTTCATAAGTAATTTGAAATCACTTCACTGCTTTATTGTTCTTAGGACAAGATGGATTCTTCTTATTGCCAGGAATTTGCATTGTGAATTACCTTAAGTTATTTGGCAATTTGTAATTTATTAGTACTTTAAATCAAATGTAGCACTCATACTGTACTTAAATTGTGAATGTTTTTAACGGTGAAATATGGGAATTTTAGGGGGAAGAGAAAGGAGGAGTGGAGAAGCTGAAGGGACAGCAAAGAGGTGCGTGTTCCTACAGGAGGCGGGATGATGCTCTCACGGTGCCTGTAGTGACATGAAGACGATGCTCATTTTGAATTGCTCAAATTCAGTACTTACCTGGTAGGGGAGACACCGTGATCAGGCAGGTGGTTTTCCCAGGGAAAACCAGCTCATCCATTGCACTTGAGTTGCTTAAAATCAGATCAAGGTGAAATGAGAGGAAGTCACACATTCACTCTTCAGAAATTTTGGCTTGGAATATTTGATGTTTGAAAAAGGCTTTATTTCCCAATTTTGCACAATTGTATTTCTCAGGTTTTTAAGAGGTGATTCATTTGCTAATTCCTTCATGCTTTCTTGCTGGAAACAGGCCCTATTTTAATTGTTGACAGTGTGAAGCCTCCTCTGCATAGAAACAAGAGCTTGGTTGAAATAATGAGAGAAACTGAATCCAATCATCTGCTGTAAGCTGCCCTACAGATATACAACAGATGTTTCTATTTTTCTATTTTGTTTTGTTTACCCTTTACACAGCCTGAAAGAGAAGGCTCTCCCTTGGATATGTGACATTTCCAAAAGCTGTTACAGCTTTCCTGTCCTGTGATCTGTTCAAAAAGTGCTGGGACTCGTCCTGTTGTTTTTCACTCTGCTGGTACTCACGGCAGTCTTGATTTGAAGTATATGGTTGAGCGCCATTGAAAGCAGACTTCACTGATGCAGAGAAAGCCAGTTTACATGTGCAAAGTAAAAAATGAGGTATCCGACTTTGGAAGCAGTGACTTTTGGAGCACCTTTCAGTATTACGAATTTGTAGAAGCTGCTGCTTTTGGATATAAAACTAACAAGCACTTTGGAAAAGAAAAGGTAGGGCCCGGCGGCATGGCCTAGCAGCTAAAGTCCTCGCCTTGAACATGCCTGGATCCCATATGGACACCGGTTCTAATTCCAACAGCTCCACTTCCCATCCAGCTCCCTGCTTGTGGCCTGGGAAAGCAGTTGAGGATGGCCCAAAGCCTTGGGACCCTGCACCCGTGTGGGATACCTGGAGGAAGTTCCTGACTCCTGGTTTCAGATTGCAGAGCACCTGCCATTGTGGTCACTTGGGGAGTGAATCATCGGATGGAAGATCTTCCACACTGTCTCTCCTCTTCTCTGTATATCTGACTTTGCAATAAAAATAAATAAATCTTAAAAAAAAAAAAAAAAAGAAAAGGCAGCCTTTTCTGTTTGGCTGGATATTTGCTGTTTAGAAGACGTAACATCAGCAATAGATTTTAGAAACAAGTGCAGAGCACTGGTGTCTGCAATGCTTGGTGGTGTAATCATGGTGAAGAGTTGCTTAGTTCCAGGTTCTGCGGTATGCAGCTTATGTGTATGTGCAAATCCTGAGATATGCAGCCGATATGTATGTAGAAGAACAGGTTTTTTGTCTTAAAATAAAGACAGTAACTTAAGGATGTTTCAGTGCTGTATTTGTTTTTGTTTTGTTTTGCCTTTTAAAGATTTATTATTTGGGGGAGGGGCCTATTGCAGTAGCGTAATGGCTCAAGTCTTACCTTGCATGTGCCAGGATCCCTTATGGATACCAGTTCATGTCCCAGCTGCTCCACTTCCCATCCAGCTCCCTGCTTGTGGCCTGGGAAAGTAGTAGAGGATGGCCCAAAGCCTTGGGACCCTGCACCTGCATCAAAGATCCGGAGGAGGCTCCTGACTCCAAATCAGCTCAGTTCTGGCCATTGTAGCCATTTGGAGAATGAACCAGCAGATGGAAGATCTCTCTGTCTCTCCTTCTCTGTAAATCTGACTTTCCAATAAAAATCTTTTTTTCAAAAAAGATTTATTATTTTTTAAAACTTTTGTTTGAAAAGCAGATCTACAGAGAGAGAAGAAACAGATCTTTCATCTACTGGTTCACTCACCAAGTCATCACACTGGCAGAATCTGGGTCAGTCCAGAGCCAGGAAACCCAGAGCTTCTAGATCTCTCACATGTTGGTTTTTCTTTTTTAATAATCTTACTTAGTTGACTAGGGTACAAAGGTTCAAGGGCTACAGGAACGTGGGTAAAACCATTGTTTCCACACTAATATCATCATTTGTTTCCCCCTGTATCTGGGGTCAGGGGAGAAACAAAGGGGAGAAGCCCCACCCAAGCTCCCGCCCATCCCAGATCCCCACTGTGGGATAAGCTCCAAGGGTCCTGCTCAAGCAATTTTGGTAGTTCAACATTTCTGAATTGCTGCCAATCTCACCGTTCCAAGCACAATGAAATCTCTTCAGAATCCACTGGCTAACATAAGCCTCTTCATGGTTGGGGTTCTGAGATCAGCAGTTCAGTTGGAGGGATCTCCAAAGAAACTTCGTCTGAGGTGATCCCAGACCTGATTCTTTTGTGTGCTTGCCAGTACAGTGTCCGGCACAGTCCATTGACCCAGTCAGCTAATGCACATGCTGGTTGTTGTAGCTGCTGGGTCAGTTCTGTTTTCAGCCCTGTCTTACACGCGAACCAATGTGTGTTGCAGTCCAGCCCAATACTGCCCACTTCATACTCGGCCCTCATGCAAACCAGTGGGAGCTGCAGCCTAGTTGGGGCACCTCCCCATAACCCCCACCAGGTCTGCCCCCTACTCTGGTTCCCATGCTTGCTAGTATGTACCACAGACTTGTTCAGTCTGTCCCACATCCCATTTAGCTCTCATACATGTCAATGTGCATTGAAGCCTAGTTCAACCCAGCCAGTCCTGCTCTCCTGCGCACACACATGCTAGCAGGTGCTGTTTGGTCTAGCCACCTCTGCCCCAGTCCTGGTTTTCATGCTCTCCAGTGGGGGTGGCAACCCAAGGGGGAGGTGCCCACTATCTCCCTACTAGACTACTCCCACTCCCGGATTATGTACTCCCCAGGTGGTTCTGGAATTTAACTTGATGGGTTTAGCCTCCAGTGCCGGCCTCTGCCAGCTGGTGTTGGAGCAAAGCCCAGCCAACCTTCACCCACTCTGATTTATGCTTGCAACAGTCGGAACAGTCAGCCCAGCCTGGCTTTTCCCTGATCTAGCTCACATGAGGCCCACAGATGTTGTAGTCCTGCCTGGTCTGGACTGCCCCCATCCCAACTCATGCTCTCCAGTGGAGGTGGCTGCCCAGCACAGGAGCCCAGATTCCCCCTGCTGGCTTTGCCTACTCCTTCCCTGATTCTTATGTGTGCTGTTTGGGCGCTGCGGCCACATCTGGTATGGCTCACCTCACCTTGGCATTCCATAATGTGCACTGGTTTGTGTTGCGGCCGAACCCAGCCTGACCCACACTCTGTTCTGGTGCTCAGATTTATCACTCGATAAAGTGAACTGGTTCAGTCTGATCTGCCCCCACCTATGCCAAATGTATATAGGTGGGTACCTTTCTCTGGTCTGGTTTGGGCTGCTCCATATTGTGATTCTTGTGCTCACCTGCAAGGACTGTGTCCTGACAGAGGAATTTTCCAAGCTCCTCCATCAGATCCTCTCCCCATGCTAGTTCTTGTGCATACTGGTGGTTTCATGGGACAGCCCTACTTAGTCCACCTCCTGTCCTGGTAGGAACAGTGGCTTTTCTTTGCTGGCCTTCAACCCAATCTGGTTCTTACTGTTGGATGTATCAGCCCAGCCAAGGTTCATCCATACCTAGACACTGCTCACACATGGCTCAGTAGGGGCAGAGACCTAGCCTAGTCCATCCTACATCTATCCAGATTCTCCAGAGCCCCAGATGGTGCTGGAGTCTTACCCATATAGGTGTACCCCGCCCCAGTTCACACTTGTGCCAAGGGAGACTGCACCATATCCAGACCAGAATGCAACCCCCTCTCTGGCCCCCACACTCACCAGTGGGAGCCCCAACCCAGCAAGGGTGTACTCTCACAGCTCCCCAACTAGGCTTGTTCCCAGCCATAGGTTACGTGCGTGCCAGTGGTTGCTCTGACCCAGTTGGCTTAGCCCCTCACCTGTTTCTCAGCCTTTACCCTCGATGCTGTGGCCTAGTATCCCTGGCTCATGCAGACTAGTCAGTGTAAGAATCTAGCTCGGCATGACCTGTGCTCCAGCCTGATTTCTGTTCTTCCTTGTGAGTTAAAGTTTGCTCAGGTCTGCCCACTTTCAGTTGCAGTTTGACCCACTCCACATCATATTTTAGGATGCACATTCAGGTGCTGCTGCTTTGACCTGCCCAGACTGTTGTTGGTTTCTTTACCCATAAGTGATAGCAGGTGCCATAGTCACACCTAGCTCAGCCTGTCACCACCCAGCTCTTGAACTAACCAGACTTGTATTTCCACAGGGTTTGGCCCACACTTACCCTACAGAATCTACTCCCGGACCTGGTTCTCTCGCATGCTGGTTAGTGTCTTGACCCTGCCAAGTGTGACCTGAGCCCTATTCCACCACTTAGTCAGGTACTGGTACCTAGCCCTGCCAGACAGGCCCCTATCCACAGCTTTCATCTGGACTGATGTGTGGCAGTCAGTGATGCTCTACGCTAACAGCCCATCTCAGGATTCCCATGTGGGCTGGTAAATCAGTCTGTGCCAAATAGATCTTATGGACTCTCCCACGCAAACCACCAGGTCTCAGTGCCCATGCTTGCCAGAAAGTTCCATGACCCCATTGCTGGAAGTCACCCAGAATTCATCCCTCACCTACACTCACACTGCCCTATCAATGGATGTCCCCAAGCAGCAATTACATATCCCAAATATCCCAGAGCTCGCTGCCAGACAGCCAGCAGGCAGAGCTAGCACCACTTGGTGCACTGGCCACCCAAAGCCTAGGACTCAGTCGCCACCTGGTGGTAGTGACTTTGGCCTGAGTCCCCAGCATTGGGTCCAGCCTGGCTGGGGCACGCCCCCACAGCCCCCACACTGCAGGGAACTGCTTTTGCCCCAACCCCATGGCCGAACAAAGTGTAAAACTAAACTAGCAAAAGGGGAAAACACCAATGTAGCAGAAATCAAGAGATGAGGGAAATGAGAATACAGAACAGGCAAATGGTAGATCTAGCCCAAATATCAGTAAATAGAATACATAGAAATGGAAAGAAAGAAGAAAGAGACTCATCTTCATATCATAACCAATAGACATAGCATCAAAAAGGAAAGTGAAAAAACCTCACAAAAAAATAGAAGCAAAAATTCTCCATATAGGATACATGAACTCATTTCATCCACGTCCCAAAGGCATAGCACACCTTGCACAAGTTGGAGTTTGTGTTCTGTGAGGTCCAGGTACTACGAGATCAGTGTGACTGATGTATCCTTCAGCTTCATAGCCATCATTGGTCACTACCCCTCCAACACCCCACAGACATCTTTGGATACCCAAGTCTGCACAACTGCAGGGTGTGATCCTTGAGGGATTTTTTCAGAAGTTGAACACATCTGCTTTAGTTGTCCCTTGTCACCTGCGCCATCCACTTCCAGAAAGCTGAAAGTTACTTCTTGTTATGATCTTATTTCTAGAATGCTGCTGCAGATGTTCTGAAGAGGACAGTTCAGGACAGGTGTTT